TGGCTGCTACCGGGCTGGTAATTAAATTCAGGACACATTCGTGCGAATATGAATGGTACAACCTTAAACAACCTTTTTCTACGGGGCTAACTGATTTTTTTCATATCTCGCTGCTGATATAACTGATTCAGACGGAACCTTTTTTAATCAAGGCGAAAGCTTTTGCCTGTATTTTCTCCGCTCTGCTAGTGATATGTTTGTTTCTGGGTAGGTAGCGACCATTTTGTTGCGTTAGTATCCGTAAAGCTAGGAAGTTATTTATGGTTATTCGACAGTATCAATGAAACTAAAAGATCTGTAAGCTTTTAGAGTCGGAACATAGATTGAGTCTTGTTTGATTCAGAATGCCAAATGTAGCCTAAAAGAATTTGGGTGTTCGATGTTACAGAATAACCAATATACACGGTTATTCAGAAAGACCCCGAAACATTCCTAAAGTGGAATATACATCCAAAAATAACAAAAAGAGTTCCTATAAACATAGATTCCGAAATGTTCCATTGCCAAGATATAGGATGTTGTGAATTTATACGATTCTGATGCGACTGAATAAGGACAGAACATGGATATTATTCAATGTCGAAATTTTCCAACTTCGGCATATTTTGTAGATAGATCGCGAAGTGCTTTATATGGATTTCGTATCAAGCATCCGTACTAATTTTTTCCCACAAAACCATTTATCATGACAGGTGATTCATCTGAACTTAATACCATTTTATAAGTCCAGGGAAGATGACCGTAGTTTTTGTCAGACGCTATAAAACTGAAGCTATTAGTATTTTTTGGATATTTCTATTTTAGACCAGTCTTTAATCATTTATGTATAAAAGAACACAAAGTATTTAACAAATTTTTATCAAATAAAATAAAAAAAACATAACGTAACTAGAACTTACGATTGGCCATCTCTCCCGAGGTGTCCGGGAGAGATGGCCAGTAGTTTACTCCGCTCTTTTTTTAGTTTTTTGCTTCTCTTCTCTTTTTTGGCCACATTTAGAATGCATGTTGTCAAAACTTTGCCCCGTGGTTTGCTTTGCACGAAGTGGGTGCTAAGCCATTCTAAAAAGAGTGCAGATGTAATGTGAGCTGACTTTTCTGACATGAAAACTTGGGAACGTGGAGGAATTTCATCTGAGTATTCAGCATTTTTATTTTTACCTTTAAAGATGCAAGCAGGTGGCAAAAAAGTTCCTTCGCACTTTGCTTTTCCCATAAGATCATTATCTGTCGAAAAGCTATTGTCCTGACAACATCATTGATCAATCGGAATCCTTTACTTTGAATGGTTTTTATATGAGTAACAAGTGTGTGTTGATTTTTTTCTCCAATGATACAAGATGGCCCCATACGTACTTTTTTATCATTGTCATTTCTGTATCATTGTTCCAATGTGTCATCTAGAACGCCGTAGGTTTTAGATGCAGAGTAAATGGTCATTTCCTCATTTTTAACAGAACTAATAGCGGCATTAAGTGATTCTTTTGTCCAGTTACCTTGCTCTGTAAATTTATAATAAGACCGCGACCATCTCTCCTTATTTGACCGGGAGAGATGGCCATATCAGAATAAAAGTGAAGAACTCTTCATTACTTACAGCTTTAGGCAACTTTAATGCAAAAAAAATCATACTAAGCATGATAAAATATAGGTACAAGTTTCTATTGAAATTTTTTCTCCACAAGATAAAACGTGAACCCTCTATAAAATTTTTACACATTTGAAGACAAATAAATAGGTTTTTACTCACTTTTTTATGTAATTTCACATCAATTTTGCACGTACTCTTAATGGTATCCGCTGACAGAAGCGACTAAGCGTAAACCAGCGCCATCTAGCCATTAGTTCCGAATATAATTGAATTGGCCATCTCTCCCGTATGGCCCTCTCCCCCGGACTTACCCTATTATATTAATGTCGGTAGTTTCCTTTTCAGAGACAACTACTTTCGAACTAACAAATGTGCCATGTTTTGTTTATAGCAGTCCATTCTAGCAGACTACACTGATGCTTGACTACGTCGAGCACATACATATTGTGTCTTTGAATTTATTGACCTTTTCGGTGAGTACTTTTCCAGTTATTTTTTTTTACTCTTTCACTGTTTCCATACACATTAGTTTAATTATTACAAACGTAGTTGTTTAGAAAAGGATAGCCTTAGCTTTCAGGATACCCTGTATATTTTATATATCTTATACAAAAGTGTAATCGATTTTTCAAAAAAGTCTGTGGTGTAGAAAATATTTGTTTTCAAAATCTCCCTATTTCTATGACACTGGCGGAGTTTCAGACATGATTTTTTAATACTGGTTGTGCTTTTTGTAGAGCACATAGAAAAGTCTTAACACGTTCTCAATGTTTATAACCTTTCGTGCTACTTTTGTACCTACCTTCTACCCTAGAAATATTGCCACGATTTTTCGAATCACCTTGTATAAGTGACATTTTTTCCTCAAATATCTTTAGAATTAAATTGAATATATCCACTTTATGGGAGTATGTGAATTATGAATTACATCATCTCTCTCCTTATTACGAATTTCATCACTTTTCGATAGATTTCACGAAGAATATTTTGGCTTGCCCTTTGATTGCTCTATGGCTCTTAACCTGTTGGCATAAGTACTATTATTTATAAATTCTCCCAAGCAAAAGTTTGAGGCTATTAAAACTGGTAATATGGCCATATATGACACCTCCTAATGGAAAAATCAAACAGCTCGAAATCATTCTTCATAGAACCTTTATTGTTTTTCTAGCTATGTGACACGTTACTTTGTCCTGCTGGAATCACATTTCTAGCATACTTTTGTAGACATGCCAGTAGACGGCATAACGCCGAGATATATATCAGCAATCTAAATCACGAATTCTGAATTACTTGTCCTTTCAGATCTTCGGAATCTTAAGGGTTGTTCCAGTGTAACCTCAGAAACACCTATTTAACGGTTTGTTAGTATACTAAGTGACATATAAATCCGAACACCCAGTTTAAATGGTTTTATTTTAATAAAAGTTGGTGAATATATTTATCTTACTGTAAATAACAAGTGAAAAAATGTTTAGCCTTATCAGTTGGACATTCCCGTTTTTATACTGCTTTTTTTCAACCGCAGTAAAGAATCAACGTTGGCGGATTTTGGTTCTTGACATCCTTTACGATCGGTTACGATGCCTAGAGTACGGAGACCTGTACGATTTCGTCAACTTAGTGAGTATGATAGGGGCCGTATAGTGGGACTTCGGGAAGCTGGACTTTCTTTTCGGGCAATTGCAGTTAGAGTGCAAAGAAGTGTAGACACTGTGGTTAGGCGTTGTCAGACATGGCTTCGAGAAGGCCGTACGCAAAGAGCAAGGGGGCACTGGACGCCGCCGTAGAACAACAGACCGTGAAGATCGCCGCCTAATATTATTGGCTTTAAGGGACCGTTTCTCCACTACCAGGTCCATTGCAAATGAATGGTTTGCAGAACACGGAAGACCTATTGGTATGCGAAGTGTTTACCGACGAATGAGAAGTTTTGGCTTGTTTTCATACCGGCCACACTGGATCCTCCCTTTAACTCGAGAACACCGACGTAATTGCCTTGAGTGGTGCAGACAACTGTCACTCTTGGATCAGGAATGGAACAGTATTGTCTTTAGTGACGAGTCTCGATTTTGTTTAGGCATGCACGATGGTCGTGCCAGGGTTAGAAGGCGACGTGGTGAAAGGAGGAATCCACAGTTTTTTGTTGAAAGACATGTTCATCACACTGTTGGAGTTATGGTTTGGGGTGCTATAGCTTATGGTTCCAGGTCACCTTTAATCTTCATCAGAGGTAACATGAACGCGCAGTGTTATATCCACGAAGTTCTAGAACCCCATCTTTTACCCTATCTTGACACCCTGGCAGATCCAACTTTCCAACAAGATAATGTCCGACCACATGTTGCAAGAGTCACAATAGACTTCTTTCAACATAATGATGTCACATTGTTACCATGGCCACCAATATCTCCCGACTTATCCCCAATTGAGCACGCGTGGGATATGATGGGTAGGAGATTGCTCAATTTGCAACGTCCTCCTCAGACTCTAGAAGCACTTCGAGAGGAGTTGGTGGTTGCCTGGAATGAGATACCACAGGAGGACATTGACCACCTGATCAGAAGCATGCCTAGGCGCGTTGGAGAATGCGTAGCACATCAGGGTGCATCCACACATTATTAAAGGTCAAAGGGCTTTAAAGCAGTGCAATAATTTTGAAATTTTTATCATTTACTTATGCTTCACTAAGTACTTATACAAAATTTTATTAAAATAAAACCATTTAAACTGGGTGTTCGGATTTATATGTCACTTAGTATATAATGGGTTTGACAGACATCTTAATGATTTTTCAATCCTCAAGTTAGTAGAACTATGGTAGATTATCCATATTCTCGATACCTACAAAGTATACAAAGTATACAGATCAACTACTCGACCAACAACACAACACATTTCTTGGCGTATTTACGACTATGCCAACTATGCTGCTTCAGTATAAAAAACAAATAAATAGCACAGTCCTAGATACGTGAAGTACGTGAGTCATGTCTATTTTATAGATGGCGAATGGAATTCAAGTAAATCTATTATTGTAAGAATTTGTATATGCAGCTTGTACATTGATATTGCCTCCCTTATTTGAAACTTTGATATACAAATATTTTAATATCATTATGAGGAGCTTGGTTTTCAAAAGCCCTTGGAGCTATAAAAGCTTAAAAGTTTTTTAATTATTCTTATCCGACAGTAGATATGGTAAGTTTCTTGGGAAAAGTTAGTTTAAACACCACTGGAACGAAAATACGAATACAAGGAGCTTCCGTGATGGTCCCTCGGTTTATAAATTGGGTTAGGATAACAACTCAAAACTTGGTTGCAGACAAGCTCGGAGAAGAAATTTTGTTCCGAGTCCCAGTGGTACTTCAATTACCAAGTAAGTGATTCATTCAACGCATTTTTTGTGTTAGTGGCAAGCATCGTTAACATTGCTCATTACTTTGGAGGTTTTACACTTATCTCTCCGCGCTTTGCTTTGTGGTGGCTGAGGTGCAATGTCGTATCTGGAATGTTTTTAAAGGGTTTTAGAAATGCTTGTGACATGCTCTTCTTCTACATCCTGTCACCTGACGATACCAAAGGTTGAATAAAACAATAGTGTACAGCAATATACTATCTGATTGCAAGCTGTGAAAGAGCTTAACTTGAGACTAGGTCCGGAAGCGGCAGCAGAACAGCTTTCTATGGCTAAAAATCAAATCTTTGTAGTTACGGAACAATGGCTACAAGAAAAGCAACAGGACACAATCGAATAAGAAACTCAGAAAATAAGGAAACTGAACCAACGGGAGTAATCAAGGAAGATCGAAATAGATGGCGTTAGGTATGGTGAAGGCCATATCTAAGGTTATAAACTGGGGCGAAGTTCGCAAGGTATTTAAAATTAAACTTTCACACAATCTCAGGTACCGTGTTAGCCCTAATCTATCAAATCGATCTTTTTCCCATATGCTTTTGGCTGTTCGTGGAGCAAAGTTGGAAATTAGAACATGATTAGATAATGCCAAATTGAGTACCGTAAAACACCAACAGCTCAGGCAGAAAAGGAAAAAATATGGAGGCCGAGCATCAACTTTGACCTCTGTAGCTGTCGCCGTGCGCTGGTATGAAGGTTTTACTATTGTGGCTGCCTGGAAAAGCAATGAGTCTATTCAAAAGACTGAAATGGAACCGTAACCAGACTTAACGCTTCATAATACTAGGACATCTTATACTATATATATATATATATATCGCAACCTGATCAGTGCAGCCCCTCTAAAAAAAGCTAAAAATGAATAGGAATACCTGGCACGTCAACAAAGTTTGACCATTTTGTTTTTTTTTTAGCTTTCTTTGCCCGTACCTTCGCCGCCACTGAATATATTTTAAAAACTTACAAAGCTTTTTCGTTCTGCGCATAGTAGCAATCTTACATTGAAATTTCACCAAAATCTGTACGGCACTTTATGGGTTATGGAGGGATAAAACATTGGCTGACAGACATGGGAAGTAAAGATAAAAATATAACGCTGCCGAGAAAAAGAAACACCAAATCTTCATGAAGATTGCTTTGAAGACCATAATTATAACAATCACCGTTTATATGCAGTTCTGCAAATCAGCAAAAGCACTGAGTACCCAAAACATGTTGACAAAGCTGTAAATTGGAATTGATTCAGCACAACATTATGTTTCCAACAGTTTATAAATTTTAAGATCGTTCAAAGCCACGTTCTGCCCATATAAAAGCTTCTTTATGAACAAGTGATCGGTAATCAACCTTTAGTTAGAGTCTAGTTAATGGTCGTTTGATTTGATACCATTTACAAAAATCATAATATTTAACGCCTAGAGGCAGTGTCAGAAACCTTAGAATAATTCTCTCATGTATTTAAGTCTACCTGGTCACATTATTATAGGATTTTAAGACACACATAAATGACGTTTGGAAACGGTCTAGACCGTTTTTGCTCTTACCTATCATGCCAGGCGAGGAAGTATCGTATTGTCGAGTTGAAAATTGATAAAACTAAGCCACATGGCTACTACTACGCCAAGGACGATAAGGCTTTGTAGGTTTTGGGAGTCCTGCTCATTTTCAGAATGTTTTTTATTGAAAGTCGGAAATGTTGGGTGGTAACGGTTAGGAGGCTGTATATGTTGCATGATGAGTATCAGTGAAGAACTTGTCAATAGCGAGAAGCTATTCTAATAATATTACGCACCGATGAAATACAATATTCACACACACTCTTCATACATTTGTTTTTGCGACAAAAAATATTTTATGCATGGTTTGAGATAAGATAGGAAATTAATATAATTGAGAGTTGATCCATTCCTTTGCTTTTGTTCTGCAAGGTATGTCGCAAAGTAAACAAAACCTCTGAAAGATATCCGATACTAGCAGCGTCATCTATTATTTATCGAAGACATCATTCATTGATGCGCTGTCAAAATTTCATGACAATCGAACCACTTCAAGCGGAGTTATCGCGCTCAAAGCGAGTGAGACTTGGTAAAACTTCTACCGAAACGTTTCAGATGTGGATGCAAGTGTATAGTAATGATTGTTTATCTCGTAGCCCAGTCCACGAGTAGTTTACGCGGTTCAAGGAGGGTCGTGAGTCGCTGGAAGATAGACAAAATTTGTGATTACATCAGAAACCGTCGAGAAAGTGCGAAAAAGTATAAAAAATCATCCAAAATCTTCATTGAGATACATAGACATGGAATTAAATGTCTCTAAAGATCCAATCCATCGCATTTTGACCAAGAATTTGGGCATGAGAAAGGTATAGTTGTTCCGCACAAGCACACGGATGACCAAAAATTGCTTCGAATTCAACATTCAAGGGACATCATTAAAGAGACTAAAAAAGTCAAACACTTTCTGTAGAATTTTGTGACTGGTGGTGGAACGTGGTGTTTTCAATACGACTTCGAAACCAAGCGTCAAAGTGCCGAATCGAACAATCCAAGCGAGCCAAATCCCAAAAAAGTTGTTTGGAAAAGTCCAAAGTGAAGACAATGTTGATTTTCTTCTACGATTCTGAGGTAATTATTCACAAGGAATTCGGTTCACCGGGCCAAACGGTTTATGCTGTGTTTTTTCGTGGTGTTATGGGGAGTTTTCTGTCTCGTATTCGTCGTGTTCGGCCAGAATACCATATTGCGAAGAAGGAAACTGGCGCTTACTGCACGACAATGCACCATCTCATCATTCGACGCTTGTGTCCTATTTTTTGACAAAAAATTGCATTTTAACCTTCAACCACTCCTGATATGGCACCGTGTGACTATTTTCTGTTCGGACATGAAGGGGCAGCGGTATGCCGACGTAGGTGTCGGCGCCCATTTTGAAGGACTAAAAAAGCTAAAATCATCATTCGAAAATCTGTTGGTTCGTGCAAATCGCTGTAATACCTCTGAAGGAGACTATTCTGAATAAAATAAATTAGATTTTCGGAATCAAAAAATATTAGTTAATTTTTTCTTTGTTCTGTTTACTTTGCGAAAGACCTTGTACATGCGCGTTGTTAACTTTTTTCTCATAAGGAATATACTGTTCCACTTGCACTTTAGCAGAGATGGAAATATAATTGGTGACAGAATTGCAGAATTGATGTATACATAGTCAACCTACTTGACGCCAGCTTTTGTGACCACAGGATACTACAGCAGTTTTTGAAGCTATGCATAACAATGACGATACCAGACAGTCAGACCGATGGAAATAAGTGGCATGAATATTCTATAATCCAGTCACTATGGAACATCAAACAAACTCCTTAACCAACATTTTATAATCTTCGCCATACAATACTTCCTTCATGCATGCAAGCGAAAAAAAAAAGAGAGATACAGTACAAGCAACTGACACATCAGAGGATAGCTTGTAATTCAGATGTAATGGGACATCAAAAACAACCGATATTTTAAAATATTTGCGATACAATACTTCCTTAATGCATCCATGGAATGCGAAAAATGGGAGACCCAGTACATGCAAATGGCACATAAGGGGATAAAGAAAATGTCTAGTGATATGCAAAGCTCGCAGTTGGAAGGGCACGCGGGAACCGTATCTAATTGGAAAACCATATTTCCCACGTCGAATCCTAAACTCGGCACATTTTTCTTCCGCGGCATGTATAAATTCGCTAGAGATGTATATTTCATGCAAAACAGTCGGCAAGGAATAAAAAGATAATAATTTATGAATGTGCGATACGTTATTCGGTTGCTAAAGGGTTGAAAAGGGATCAGCATTAGAACTACGTGAATGGAGCCTGCAGTCAGAAAAGAATAGCCGACCAGCTTTTATTTTTGCCTCTATAGAACAGTACATTTAGTGTTCACCACAATTTTTAAATGTGCGATTTTTTATACGTCGCTGCTAAAGGTTTGAGAGGCAGTCATCATCGCCGGCAAAAACAGTGAACTGGTTTAGCTGCAGCTATAGTGATGATTTGGCCAAATGTTAGATTTTCCCAAATACCTCCGTATATGACTAATCTCTCAATGTATGCAATGTGCGCAATTTATTTAAAAAAACATAGGATGTCAACCCTGACACACAAGTGGATGAGTATGCAAGGCTCACCTAGTTTGCACATGTATCCTGTTTCCCTCAGCAGAGTTGGAAGTAGACCTAATTCTCACTTTGGAGATACTTGACACCCACGTCACAGCACTGAAGCACCACTGAGACACAATCGAGAAGCGACTCGATGTTTACGTTGACCGGTAGCAGACGCGCGGATTGGGAGCTGGATGGGGGCATGGCTGTACTACCCGGCCCTACCGTATCGCCGCTACGAGATACAGCACTCACACGCCTCAGTCCCTCGGCAACCGTCAGCGCGTTCACAGCTCCGTGCAGAGCTCTATTCGGTTTACTTTTTTTTAGTAGTGGGTTCTCGATTGTCTCTCAATGGTGCTTTGATGTTTTAGTGTAGTGACGTGGGTGTCAAGTGTCTCCAAAGTGGAAATTAGGTCTACTTCCGACTCTTCTGAGGGAAACAGGATACATGTGCAGCAAACTAGGTGAGCCTTGCATACTAGATGTGTGTCAGGGTTGACATCCCATGTTTTTTAAATAAATTGCGCACATTGCATACACTGAGAGATTAGTCATACACTGGGAAACACTAAAATTTGGCAAAATCGTTTTTATTTTTCTGACTTTATTCTAAGAAATGTCAAAAAACTAATGGCACTACATGATGGTGTTTTTACATGTTGTGCCCGACGCGCACAACATTTAAAAAAAGTACGACACTGCATCTAATACCATCTTTTTCTACGACTTCAACGATGTATCACATTACATTTTTTTTCTTTTAGTTATAAACAAACGTGTTTTTTCTCTATTTTTTTCATTTTATTTAAGTAGGAGTTGCAAGCAAATGCTTTATGTAAGATGTGATTACTGGATTTAACCTAGTCTGATCCTTATCTTGGCTACCTTGTAATAACATACATTATTTTAAAAATAAATTTACAGAAACGTGCACTATTCTAACGTTCTTGTAAGAATTCTTATGTACTTAAAAATCTCAAAACTATTATCAAAGCCTCGAACAAAAGACTAAAAGACTATTTTCAGCCCAAGGAATTATTTTACCTTTAATAACAAAGTGTTTTCACAAGTACATGGCTGCCCCATGGGCTCTGTGTTATCTTCAATTTTGGCAGAATATGTAATGGATGACCTGTTGTTATTCAAGTATTGCCATACAATCTAATTTTCATAAAAAAGTATGTGGACGATATTATCGTTTGTCTTCTTTATGATAGGGTGGATGATATTGTTGAGGTTTTTAACTGTTATGAAAAAGAAGATGACAATCAATCTGTTCCCTTTTTGCATTCAAGATTGATTCGTACCAATGACAATATATTACTGGTAGACTGGTACAGGACACTAATTTCTTCCGGAAGGTTCCTGAACTTCAGGACTTACCACGAACTTAAAATAAAAATAAACCTGGTGAAACAAATGAAGTACAGGGTTCTAAACATCTCTGACAGTACTTTCCATCTTTCCAATTTAAGGCAGCTTTCAGTCTTATTTATCAACAATGGCTATCCTAAGTATTTGGTTAACATAATTTTGTTCAGCTCCCCTCCGAATATTTTGCCAATGACGAATAACAATGGTGAAAATGACAACACTGTTCAGTCCAACCAGATATCCATGAATTCTTCAACCAATGAAAATAACAGCGCTACAGTGGGTGCTCCTATTTCCAGAGTTAATTATGTTGACTCTCAAAACGGTTATTTTTAGAAATGTCCCACATTTTCATGACAGATCATTGCACGAATAAAAAGGCTGATGTTAAGCAGCTCAGTGTCATTTATTCCTACCTGTTGAATTGCGAAAAGCTAGAACGGCTACATATCCAAATTGAACCAACATCTTCACAAAATTAGAATACATTTTCTCACTCACATTTCTTAATATAAACTCACATAACCCATCTTTTCAAGGTTGTATCAATATCACACATTCTTACACTCATATAAACTACACACTTTTGTTCCAAAACAAATTAATTCAGCATTTTAGTAATTTTGGGTGGAAGTTTACCGAACGTCCCTCGTATACTTCATACCCAAACTTGGACAAGGAGGTTTACAGTTCCACGGTCCGTCGCGTCAATCACTTGTCATCTGTCGACGCTTTATCTTTCCGTGCCGTCCCCCTCTCCACGTGGAACGGAAGTAGGAGGTTAGATACTGAATTCCGATTGTTTCACTAAAATGTCTTCACACGTGTAATATTTTTTAATTTTTTCGGGTGGATTGATATTTTTAACATGTAACGAAGGTAGCTGTCGCTTTCAACAAGCCCAATGTCCCCGCCTTTTGTTTTTATACTGATTACAAGTTCTATCTTCTCTACGTTCGTTTTGAAACACCTTGTGGCTGCAACCTCACCGACGAGTAAGTTGTCTGATAATTTAAATCTGTCCTGTTTTCTTTGCTAGCATCACAATTGTGTTTTCAGAATCCTGATGAAGGCTCCATAGACAATGCCGAAAGCTTGATTTTATCGTCAAAAGAGTCAACTTAAGCCTAGAAATTTGCCAATTTCCCAATTGACAATTAATTGTGTATATATATAATATATACAGTAATGGACAAAAGTATATACACAAATTAGTATTGTGCTGTATTTCTTTTTTAATTCGTTTTATTAATATACCAACCTGTATACATACTTCGTTATAGCATAATACTCACTTATACATAAATAAATTCATTAGACTCCCTTCTATAAAAAAATCATTGAAAAAACTGTAACTATGAAGTAGAAAAATATATAGACAATGCAGAACAATTATAGAAAAAAGAAGCAAAGGCCATTGAATTATAGAAAACCAACCATGTTTGTGTTAATATTTTGTAGCATAACCATTATTATCAGTCACCGCCTGGCATCGTCTTGGCATAGGTTGTAGACGTTTGTTGATATAAGATACATCAATCTGTCTCCACTTTTACTCTAAAGCGGCAAAAAGTTCATCCTTGTTTGAATAATTTTTATCTCGGATTTGCTTATCTAAGTATTCCCATAGATTTTCAATGGGGTTTATATCGGAAGACTGTGAAGGCCATCTGGGAACTGGTATTTTTTCATCCAGAAAGAATTTCTTTGCGAGATTTGAAGTGTGCTTCGGGTAATTATCTTGCTGGAAGATTGATCTTAAGCGCATATTGTCTTCCATGTAGGGTAACATGACATGCTTTAGTATGTCTGTGTATACAAACTTATCCATATTGCCATCTATTCTATGTAAAGGTCCCATGCCAAACCCTGAAAAGCACCCCCAAACCATAAAACACCCGCCTCCATGTTTGACAGTGGCAAAGTGTACTTGGGGTTCAATCTTCGTCCACTAGGACGTCTAACGTAATGAACACCATCTGACCCAAACATATTGAACTTGGATTCGTCACTGAAACATACCCTCTTCCAGTCATAGATGCTCCAGTCAAGATGCAACCATGCAAATTGTAATCGGTCCTTACGGTTTTTCCTCGAGATTAGCGGCTTCTTACTCGGGCGACGTGCAAATAACTGTAAATCATTTAATCTTCTACTTATAGTTTCCGTAGAAACACTGACAATTCCTTTTGTCTCGATTTCGGCTTTTATTTGTCTTGGGGATTTAAACGGATCTTTGGACGAAATTACTCTTATTAATCTATCTGATTTAGTTTTCTAGGCCGACCACTTCTCTTAGAGGCTTCCAGGATACCTTTTTGTTTATATTTGTTCAATATTGCCCAAACTTCTTTACGCTTCAGCTTCAAATTTTTGGCACTGTCGACTTGACGTTGACCATCTTTGTA